TTAATGGGTATCTCTTAGGTATCTCTGGGGTATTCATGGGTATCTCTGGGGCTTTCTGCAGGTGGTGCGTCGGACCTGGGGGAGGGAGGGGCGTGTCCAGCCCGGGGGGTCCATCCGGACCGTGTTCCTGCTGGGGGTCCCCAGGAACGGGTCGGCCCTGCCCCTGTGGGACCGGCTCCTGGCCTACGAGAGCCAGAGCTTCGGGGACATCCTGCTGTGGGACTTCCAGGACACCTTCTTCAACCTGACCCTGAAGGAGACCCACTTCCTGGAGTGGGTCAACAGCAGCTGTCCTCACGTCAGGTCCGTGTCAGGGCTGCGAGCGGGCCGGTTCTGACCCGCCGGCTGGTTCTGAGACAGGGCTCCGAGCGGGCTGTTCGGTTCTGACCTGGTTCTGACCCACTGGCCGGTTCCAACCTGGTTCCCACTCGGTTCTGAACCGTCCACCAGTTCTGACCTGGTTCCGACCCAGTTCTGACCCACTGGCCATTTCAAACCTGGTTCCTATCAAGTTCCGATCCGCCAGACGGTTCTGATCCGGTTCTGACCTTAGAGCCGGTTCTGATCTGGTTCTAATCTAGTTCTGACCCGGTTCTGACCCAGTTCTGACCCTGTTCCGACCCAACAGCTGGTTCTTACCTGGTTCTGATCTGGTTCTGATCTAGTTCTGACCCGGTTCTGACCTGGATCTGACCCACTAGCTTATTCTGACCCTGTTCTGACCCGGTTCCGACCCAACAGCTTGTTCTGACCTGATTCTGACTCGGTTCTGACCCGCTCTGTCCCAGCTTCATCTTCAAAGGCGACGCCGACGTGTATGTGAACGTGGAGAACCTGCTGGAGCTGCTGCGGGGCCGCCGGCCGGACCAGGACCTGTTTGTGGGCGACATCATCCTGCACGCCAAACCCATCCGCCGCCGCTCCTCCAAGTACTACGTCCCCGAGTCGCTGTACGGCGCCGCCCGCTACCCCACCTACGCCGGGGGCGGCGGCTTCCTCATGTCCGGGCTGACCGCGCGCCGCCTGAGCGCCGCCTGCCAGCAGGTAGCTGCTGACCCCGAGTCTGACCCCTGATCCTGACCCCTGTTGCTGACCCCTGTCCGACTCCTTAACCTGATACTGATCCTGACCCCTGACCCTTACTTTGCTCCTGTCCCTGACCCCTTTCTCCAACCCTCTCTGACATCTAACCCCTGTCCCTGAGCCTAATTCTGATCCCTGACCCTGTCTGACCACTAACCCCCGTCCCTGTCCCCTGTCCCCTGTCCCCTGTCCCTAATCCTGACCCCTGACCCTGTCTGACCTTTAACCCATGATCTTGAGCCTGATCCCTGTCCCTGACCCCTGTCCCCTGTCCCTAATCCTGACCCCTGATCCTGACCCCTGTCCCTGACCCATGTCCAACTCCTAACCCTGATCCTAATCCTGACCCCTGACCTGTCCCTGAGCCTAACTCTGATCCCTGACCCCTGACCCTTGTCCCTGGCCCTGTCTGACCTGTAACACATGATCTTGAGCCTGATCCCTGATCCTGACCCCTGTCCCTGATCCTGACCCTGATCCTGTCTGATCTCTGACCCCTGATCTTGATCCTGACCCCTGTCCCTGATCCTGACCCTTGACCCCTGACCCTGCAGGTGGAGCTCTTCCCCATAGACGACGTCTTCCTGGGCATGTGCCTGCAGCTGATCGGCGTCCGGCCTCTGCGCCACCTGGGCTTCCGTACCTTCGGGATCGTGCGGCCGTCGGCGGCCCCGCACCTGCAGACCTTTGACCCCTGCTTCTACCGGGAGCTCATGGTGGTCCACAGCCTGACCGTCCCCCAGATCTGGCTCATGTGGAACCTGCTGCACGACCCCCAGCTCAGCTGCCACAACAGCAGCGGCCCCGCGAGCAGCCGGCCCTTCAGGTGGAGGGGGACCGGGCCGGGCCAGGACCCCGACCCGGGTCAGGACGGGACTGACCCGGGTCAGGACCCCGACTACGGCGAGCGGCAGGTCTTTGTCTCACATCAGTGACCTCAGGGCCTGAGCGGCCCGGCAGGACCCACCTGGGAAGAACTGAACCCAGTCCAGAGTCTCCAGTCAGGAAGGGCTCTGGACGGGGTCCCAGGTCCAGATGTGTGACCCGGTTGGACCCATATGGAACGAGATGGTCTGAGTTCTGGGATTCTTCCACCTCAGAGGATAAGAGCTGTTTTCTAGAAGCAGAACCAGCGTGTGATACTGAACTGAACTGACCCCCCGTCCGGTTCTGAGCATATGGACCGGTTCATGTTCTGAAAGCACTAATGGGCCCAATGGACCGTTTCAGACCCACAGACAGATGTTTCTGCTCAGTTTGGTGGCAGAAAGCCGTCTCATAAACACTGGGACCCTCCGACCCAACATCTGTCGCGATTCCAGCTGCCCAGCTGTTCGGCTTCTCCAGATGTGGGTCAAACATCTGGGTTATCACACATCTGGATAATCGAACATCTGGACTCTTGTTCCGCGAAGAGGCCAGAACTCTTTGAGACGCGTTTCTGTCAAGAAATTAAAGAAGTTTCTTTTCCCGGACTTTCTGAACAGAAATGACAGAGAACCGTTTTACATCCACATTTTATTGTTATTTCCTGTTTGCACACACAGATTAAAACGGATGTCGGGGAACAGCGTCTGAGGCCAAACGGCCGAACGGCCTCTTATTGCCCGTTTCAGCCGGCATGCTGATAGTCGACCGAATTATTCCAGATAGAAAATGTCACATTCACAACGTTTGATCAGCGGCCAGAGGGGGGAGGGGGCAGAGGAGGGGAAAAGGAAGAACAGAGGAGGACGAGAGGGGGGTCAGAGGTGGACCAGAGGGGGGGACTGAGGAGGTCCAGAGAGGGGCAAAAGGAGGACTGGGGGTGGGGGGTGGGGGTTGCCAGATGGGGACCAGAGGGGGGACAGACATGAGGCTCGTCACTCTGCTTCTGGCTGATAGGACGGCGGCGTCTCCATGGGGACGGGGCGGCTGAGGGGATGAGGCACAGCGTTCGACAGCTCTCCGCGTTTTCCTGCTCCAGGTCGGCACGGAAACGTTCGGGCCAAGCGTTTGTGAGTCATTCTGTTCTGACCAGAACCGGAGGCGGGCAGAACTTCAGCTTCAGCTTAAAGTTAGCATCGGGTCCAGCTGGCAGCCAGAAAAGAGAGCAAAAACAACCAATCAGGCGGCGTTTTCAGCGGCGTCCTGCGTGACGCCGCCATTAAAAATAAATAAAAACATTCCCAGATGGCCGGCCGGAGCCGAGTGGAAGCCATGACCTGGAGGAGAGAGGGGGACACCGACCACGTGCACACGGCTATTTACAGCATCTGTACATCAGCTCAGTCCACAGGAGGGACATAAAAGGTCCAGAAGAACGGGCTCTTTGTTCTAAAACCAACCGTCCCATTATTTATGGAACAGGACCACAGGTCACCCGCAGCTGGAAACAGATAGAAAGCCTCTGTGACTGAGGGCCTCAGCCGGCAGGTCAAAGGTCAGGGCGGCCGCGGCTCAGTTTGTGCTCAGGGTCCATAAATAATGGGACACGGGACGTGTTGGTTAAAGGCCTGCAGACCTGAAACAGGGACTTTCTTCTTCGTGCGATTATAAAATGCAGATGTTCTGCTAATTTCCTGAAAATCAGGCAAGGATGGAGTCAGTTTTATGAGGAAGGAGCTTCTCAGCAGTGTTGAAATGAGTCCAGTTTATTGTTATCCAGACCTTTAGACCAGTTAGAGGAATGAAAGACGGGTTCAAATCCACATCCACAAAGAAATAATACTGTTCTGGGGCTGGGGTCCCCGTGGGGGGGTGGGGTTGGGGGGTTAAGCTCCCTGTAGGGCCACATGAACACATCTGGACCGGCTTTGGCTGCAGCAGCTTTTGGCAATTCGACAGAAACATCAACTCAACTGTGGACAGAAGGACGGCGCCCCCTCTGTCCCTCTGGAGGGGGGCACCCCGGTTTGGGAGGGGGGGGTACTAGTGCAAAAGATGAGTCAAAATGGATGGGGGTGAGGGGGTTGTCACAGTTCTGGTTCGGTTCAGGACGGTTTGAAGCGGGTCAAACTGAGCATGTGCGGGCGGCGGCTTTGTGGACGTTGGAGGACAGAGACCTGGTCCCTGTCCCGGTCCTGGAGGACAGAGACCTGGTCCCTGTCCCGGTTCTGGAGGACAGAGACCTGCTCCCTGTCCCGGTTCTGGAGGACTGCGATGGGCGGACTGTCCCGGTTCTGAAGGATAGAGACCTGCACCCTGTCCCGGTTCTGGAGGACAGAGACCTGCTCCCTGGCTGGTTCTGGAGGACAGAGACCTATTCCCTGTCCCGGTTCTGGAGGACTGCTTTGGGAGGACCGGGGCTGTTCTGGCTCTGCGGCTGAGGCAGGAAGACGGTGGTACCGGCCGGGCTGGCAGTGAGCTGGTGACATCATCGGGGCTCGGCCCGCGCCGTCCTGCGGTTCTGCTGGGCAGCGCTGGACTGGATGGCGGGTTCCCAGAACCCAGCAGGGAAGCTGAAGCGTGTCCGGTCCGGTCCGGTCCGGTTCTGAAGCGTCTGAGCTGGCTGGAGTCGGTTAGAGAATCTGGTCCTGGGTTAGAAATTCAGTCAACAGGGGAACTGGACCCGGGCCGGGCCGGGCCAGAGCGGGCCTGGGTTCTGGGCTCAGTGGGAACTGCCACTGGACCCGGGTCGGGCCGGACTGCTGATCCGAGGGGCGCCATAGAGGGTCACTGAGGCTATGTGGTTGTTCTGCATCACCTGCAGGGGAGCAGAGAACAGAGTCACAACCAAACGGTACCGAGCAGAACCAGTTTAAATGGTGAGCTAAACTTTTGGCAGGGGTCAGAGGTCAGGGGTCAGGGAAGGGGCCCTACACAGCTTTTTGGCTCCCCCTGGTGGGGCAAAGCCAACTGCCCTGACCCAGGTAAACCCAGGTGGACCCAAATGGACCCAGAGGGACTCAGGTGCAACCAAATGGATCCAGAGGGACTCAGAGGGACCCAGATGGACTAAGACGGACCCAGGTGGACCCGGGTCCGCTGCAGACGAGGCTAAATCTGACCTCAAAGATGGTCCTCTGCAGGCCGAAGCAGAAGGTGGAGCCGAAGGGGTTGGTGTTGTTGGCCGACGAGGACCTACAGGACAAGCACAGCCGGGTCAGGACCGGACCGGCCCACGGAGGCCCGGGTCAGGACGGCGCCTACCTGTGCAGCACCACGGGCTTCTCCACCGGGTGGCCCAGCAGCTCCTGGACCTGGTCCCACTGCAAGAACCAGGAGAGCAGAGCTGAGCCAGGCTGGACCACAGGCTCACACACAGACCCACTACGGGGGTCTGAGCGGGAGAAGGGGGGGACTGAGGGGTCTGTGGGCGCCCCCCCCACCACTCACCTTGCTGTAGGTGGTCAGGATGCAGTCTCCACCCTGAGAACCAGCTCCTTCCCCTGAGAGGAGGACAGACAGGAGTTAAAGGAGTCCAGCAGCCCGATAGGCCCGACCCCTGATAGGCCGGAGAGGGGGAGGCTCACCTTTTTTGACCACCAGCGGGATCTTAAAGTCGCAACGATGGTATCTGGACAGAAAGAGAGATAGGGGCGGTGAAAAGGGGGCGGAGCCAGAGGGGCGGGGGCGGCGCTGGAGGACCTACATGTTGAAGTTGTAGTGGCCGGGGTAGTTGGTGTGGAGCACAAACTTCTTCACCAGGTGGGTCGAGGAGTCGAAGAGGATGTCCTGGAACAGGAGAGCAGGGTCAGGAACCAGACCCCCCTCTGAGGAACCAGACCCCCTCTCTGAGGAACCAGTCATGATCCACCTACCAGTCCCAGTGTGAAGTAGTTGAAGAAGTAGTCGTTGCATTTGGAGGGCACCTGCTTGTGGGGCGACGGGGAGTGGATCTTCATCTACAAGAAGAAGAAGAAGAAGAAGGTTTTACTCAGACGTCTGCTTTGCCGGCTCCTGATTGGCTCAGACGAAGTCGCCCCCCACCTTGTCCTCTGACTTGTAGAAGACTTTATGTGGGGCTCCCAGAGCGCCCAGGACGTCCTGGCAGGAGTCTCCGAAGAAGATGCTCCTCTCCAGAGACCGGACTTTAGCATCGGCCATGGCGCCGGGTCCACAACCTGCAGCCGGAAACCAGAGCTCAGCCTCCACCCTCAGCAGGGCTCTCACACTTAGCCTCCACCCTAAGCAGGGCTCTCACACTTAGCCTCCACCCTGAGCAGGGCTCTCACATTTAGCCTCCACCCAGACACCAGCGTCTGCTTTGCTCTGACTTGTCCAAACACTGGGAGGGCTGTATATGTTCAATAAAAATTCAAATATCCAGATTAAACTCCCCCTCTGATCCTCTGAGGTCAAACTGAGCAGCTCTGAGTCTAAAAAGTCTTAATTCCTGCTTGTCAGTAAACCCGTTTCCAGCTCCTTAACACATGTTTAAACTTTGGAGGAAAAAAGCAGAAATTCAAAGTTTGAATTTGATCTACTCTAATTTCTTTAAATTTCTTTTAGTTATTTATCTGATCCCCAAATTAATTTGTGGGATTATTTCAGCGTCTTGAAGACAAACTGACGTCTTTCTATTAATTTGTGGTAAAATCAGCTCCTATTTTCGGAGGGGATTCTTCATCAAACTGAGCAGTGAGACACTGTAAGCCTCCTTTTGTTGTCTCAGGTTAAATGGAGTCCGTTTTTGGTCTGAAATCAACCTGTTTCCAGCTCCTGAACCCATGTTTCCACTGAGCAGCCTCTGCTTTGCTCTGACCCAAACAATGGCGAGGGGGGGGGGGGGCTTTACCTGCAGTCCGCACCCGGAGCCTGAGCCCCAGCGGACCCGCCCCGTCTCTCAGAACATCCACGCTCTCTGCATAGATGTTGCCCAGGAAACAGGCCAGCGGCATCAGCGGCGCCCTGAGGGGACAGAGACGGGTCAGTCTGGGGTCAGTTATGGGGGGGGGCTTACGGGTAGAGGCCCCTGTGGTTAACCTGGTCTCCTGCAGGTTGTTGCCGGTGTAGATGTGCATCCTCTTCACCATGGCCCCGTGGGGAATCTGCGGGGGGGCAAAGCCAGAGCAGAGTCAGAGTCAGTGACGCCAACTGGGCTGAACATGTTCGATAAAAGGTCAAACATCCAGATTAAACCCCCCCCCTGCAATCCTCTGAGGTCAAACTGAGCCGCTCAGTCTAAAAAGTCTCAATTTCTGCTTCTCAGTGAAGCTGTTTCAAGGCCCTGAACGTATGTTTCCACCTCTCTCTGTAATATCTGCTGGAACAGAGCTCATTTAGTGGAAATCAGAGCTGGTTCTGGAGGCAGAAATCAGAAAGTGTGAGCTGTTTCCTCTCTGGTTCTGATCAGAGGCTCACAGCTGGATGGAAAACCTGCTGCTGTCAGAGCTGATCAGGATGCTGATCTGAAACATTTCAGGGCTTTGAATGGCAGCAAACAGTCCAGCTGTTGTCCTCCAGCTCAAAGTGGCTGTTTTCTAAATAAGGAAGTCTAAAATTATCCACAGCTCTGAGTTCCAGCTTTTAGTCGACTGCTTTCAGCACATCAGCACAAAGTTTCCTTCATTTCTGGATGCTGGAACAGAGCACATTTCCAGGAAATGAACCTCATTCTGGAGGAAAACCAGCAGAACTCTGAGTTCTTTGGACTTAGAGTTCTGCTGGTTTGGATCAGAGGCTCAGATATTGATGTGACCACTGACAGGTTTATGTCAGAGTTTAAACAGCAGAGCAGGAAGCATCCAGCTGCTTTTCAGCCGCAAACAGGAAGTAAACAGTCAGGACTCAGAGATGCAAAACAGGTCAAACTGACCCAAAAGTCAGCAGCCGGGGTTAAAAAAAAGAGAACAAAAATCAATGCGACTCAGCGGTTTTTATTTGATTATGATGACCTGAAGCATGTAGCAACAGGATCTGTAACGACTCGAACTTTGACCCTTAACGGCCTCATCAGCGCAGAGTTTGTGTCAGAGGAAAGTTTACAGAAATCAAGCAGCTTTTTAAAAGAAAACTTTGGTCAGATTTGAGGTTGTTGTCAATCTCAAAGTAATTCGTTTTTCCCCAAAAGATGAAAAAAATCTAGATCAGAATCCAAACTATTCTCCTTTCCTTCATGTTCTCCGTGGATTGATGAGGAACTTGTAACTACAGGTTTTATGTTTGAGACCCTGAGGCCAGGGGAAGCCCCCCTCCCCCCCTCAACCGCCTCTCCTCCCATCTCACCTCGTATTTGGGAGCTTCATTCCAGGAGTCCAGCTGAAAGGAGAAGGACAGCCCTCTGAAGTTGAGGTGGAACAGCTGCTCGGGGGCGTTGTAAACTGGAAGGAGAGGAAAGCCGATCAGAAAAAGGAGCCGGGAGTCTGAAAACAGGCCTCTGGGAGCTGTGGGAACTGTGGGAGCTACCTCCAGGGTGAGTGGCTCCAAACGACTGGTCTATCTGCTCTATGGTGGGCGCGATGGCCTGAGAGTTAAAATGGACTCCACTGGAACACACAGAGTCAGAGGTGAGAGCCCCTCCCCGCCCCGGCAGAGCTGAGCAGAAGGCTCTGAGATGGACTCCACCGATCAGCCGACCTGTGAGGT